AAGGAACTGCAGTTACTTTACAAGACTAGTTATTTGGGTGTTAAGGACTCAGCTAGAGCAGCAGTGATCTGCCAGAGCTAAAAACCACACAATTTGGAGGGGAAGGTGTCTGCCCCTCTAAGATAAAGGAAGGTATGTCTATTTTAAAAAATAAAATTGCTTATGTATAGATCTCTTTACCACTATACTCGTTATATATTAATAATGTGAGATGCCAGTGGCTTATAGTACTTAATTGTGCAAGAAGTATGAACTCTGGAAAAACTCAGGTATAAACCAGAGAGCTAAGTTTTTTACTCACTGATTAGCTCAACAAAATTTTCTGGGAAATGTAGTCACAATATAGGCTCTTTTCTTTTTGTAATTTGAACTGCTATACAGATACCTTGCTCAAAATTCAACCCATGCAGAAGAAAGAACAGAAACAACAATATGACCTTATGGCTATTACCATTTTCTCAGACTGCATTTTGTTATACAAATGATTTTCAGCACATGGCTTAAATTTTGTAAAGCTAATACGTGCTTTTCATCGAAGCTGGCCAAAACAAAGTTGTTTGGATCTGTGAGTAAACAGCCAAACTTCTGAATTATCAAGACTTCCTCTTCTCAGTGCGGTCTCAACTTGCAAATGTTATTCTTTCTCCAATATCAGGATAGTATATAAAAGACATAGAACACTGAACTATATCTCCATATAATTTCATTTCCACAAAATATCCCAACAAGTCAAAAAAATAAAAGCAGCACAGCACAATACCTGTAAATGCCTGGAAATATGTATCTACAACTGTTTTAAAATTACATCACTTGTTTCACCCAATATCGCAATAAAATTATATTTTAAAAGACCCGATACAGTAAAGTAAAAAACTCAAAAGCAGCCCCCCCCACAAAAGAATACTGAATAGCATAACAAGCATCTTCAAAGAGATTTGTCTTCACTTAAAGTAAAATCTCCTTCTAGTTGAGCTCAGTTGCTAGTGGCAAGTTCCTGTAGTTTTCTTGTCAACAACATGGAAGTGATTTGCTACTGTCTACTTGTAGAATGTTTTGTTTGACTACATAATCTAACCTTTAGCCACGGAATTCCCTGGTCATCTCCCAACCAAATATTAATCAAACATGATCTTGTTTAGCTTCTGTGGCCAGAGAAAATCAGACAATGCCATCTGCTGAGACACTTCCATTATTATTAATTTATTATTAGAAATGTTCTTTTCTCTTTGAATTACTATTCTCTTTCTCTTGGCCTAAGTAGAAAGAATGTCTATTACTTCAGAGGAACACAAAATTAGAGACTTAACTTTTTGTTTTCAAATAGAAGGGTTGGGCACTATTTAATTAGAACTTTAGTTATTTAAAGTGGAGTTAGGAAAAAAGTATCAATAAGAACAATTTTGGGATTAAACATAACAATTATATATGACTATACAGTCTAGAAAACACTATACTAAAGGAAAACTGCTCAACAGAAATTCTATTCTGCTTTGTAGAATGGTTCAGTATTTTTTTAAAGTTAGGACAGCATTCATCACTGGTAGGATTCATAATTAACACGTGGAAAGAGTGTATGTGCCGTAGTGAACACTGAGGAAGGAAAGGCAGTTAGGAGGCAACAGAAGGCAGATGTGTGGATCTGGAATATGATGTGAAAAGGTGGAGAGAAGGAAGACAAAGGGGACTGAGGAGACTGAGAAGATACTGAAGAAGGAAATGTTCACTGGCAGGCTGATCTGGCAGTGTGGAGCAGCAACACCCTATGGCAGGGGAGCAACAGAGGCAGCAAGAGAGGAGCAGTGGCTGCAAATGAAGGCTCCTCTGTTACCACATCCACATCCACAGGAGAAGGGCATGTAGCATGGCAACCAGGATTGAAAGCTGGTTTGGAGGAGGAGTAGCAACATGTAATGGGCTGTGAGAATAACCTTGAGAGACAGGAGGAAGAGCCTAGGCAACAGTCTGATAAGAGAAATCTGAGTCCAAAGCAGGAATGGGGATGGAGAAAGCGTCTCAGAAATTACTCTCCCTTAGTTCTCTGGAACGTAAAGGCAGGGGAGGGGGGCTTTCTTTCAGACTTGCAAGCACTTTCAGACTTGCAAGATTCTGTAACTGTAACCTTACAATAAAGGTAGTATTAGTATTCTTGGTTTTGGTTTCCTGGTCTGGACTACCTTGAAGGGCTGACATGACAAGAGGATGGCCTTGGTGAAAGCATGGAAGCCTCCAGGCTGCCTAGAAGCTGGTGGAAGACCTGGATAGCTTCCAGGCTGCCACCAGGATCATATTACAGTCTTATATACAGTCATATAGAATATTACCTTGAATGCCCAAGACTTTTTTCAAGACTCATATTTTAGTTCAAGGCTGTAAACTGGCATCTATTCGTTTTTATATTATGTCTATAATTATAGCATGCTTACATCTTATATTATGTCTATAATTAACTTATTTTCTTTATCTACTTATTCTGCATGGAAAGGCATTGCTTCTGTGGGAATTCCTCCTGCAAGAATATAACACACAGGTATTCCTGCTCTATTGGTATCTAATGTTTTAAAAGCTGGTAATCAAGTCCTCGGCATTCAGGAAGGACTATGAGACATTCACTTATGTTTTTTTGCCTTTAAATAGCTTCTTCACTAATTACATTCATGAGTTAGCATGAAAAGAATTCTGTTACCAGTGTTCATCTCATCTCTTCTTGAGTTCTACAGTAAAATACATACAATACAGATTTTTTTCTGCCCCGCACTGCCCAGCATGCACATTTTAATTTAGTTGAGTAGCATGAGTACCAACTACATTAAAAATAGATTCAGGTAAAAGAAGCTAAATAGATTATATATAATATTTAATATTATGATGGCCTGACTACTGCAATGTGCTCTACATGGGACTGCCCTTGAAGACCACCCTAAGGCTTCAACTGGTCCAGAATGCAGTGGCGTGAGCAGCGATGTGCATGCCTCAGTATGTCCATGTAACACCTTTACTTCGCAAACTGCACTGCTGCCAGTTTGTTTCTAGGTGCTATTCAAGGTGCTGGTCATTACCTATAAAGCCCTACATGGCATAGGGCCTGGTTACTTGAGGGGCCACTTGTCTCCCATAGTATCTGCCCAGCCAATTTGATCTGCAGGATTGGCGCGCTCTGAGTTCCTTCAATTAAGCAATGCCATCTATCAGGACCCCAGAAATGTGCCTTCTCTGTCACAGTGCCTATCCTATGGAATGTGATTTCCCCGAGATCGAACCTGTCCCCACCCTGCTGGTGTTTTGAAGGGACTTGAAGACTTGGCTCTTTACCCAGGCCTTTAATGGGGATGACTGAAGCCTCCTTTTAACTTAGGTTGTTTTCTTTTGTTTCCATCTGTTGCATTATATACAGGTGAAACTCGAAAAATTAGAATATCGTGCAAATGTTCATTTATGTCAGTAAGGCAACTCATTGCATTATATACAGGTGAAACTCGAAAAATTAGAATATCGTGCAAATGTTCATTTATGTCAGTAAGGCAACTCATTGCATTATATACAGGTGAAACTCGAAAAATTAGAATATCGTGCAAATGTTCATTTATGTCAGTAAGGCAACTCATTGCATTATATACAGGTGAAACTCGAAAAATTAGAATATCGTGCAAATGTTCATTTATGTCAGTAAGGCAACTCATTGCATTATATACAGGTGAAACTCGAAAAATTAGAATATCGTGCAAATGTTCATTTATGTCAGTAAGGCAACTCATTGCATTATATACAGGTGAAACTCGAAAAATTAGAATATCGTGCAAATGTTCATTTATGTCAGTAAGGCAACTCATTGCATTATATACAGGTGAAACTCGAAAAATTAGAATATCGTGCAAATGTTCATTTATGTCAGTAAGGCAACTCATTGCATTATATACAGGTGAAACTCGAAAAATTAGAATATCGTGCAAATGTTCATTTATGTCAGTAAGGCAACTCATTGCATTATATACAGGTGAAACTCGAAAAATTAGAATATCGTGCAAATGTTCATTTATGTCAGTAAGGCAACTCATTGCATTATATACAGGTGAAACTCGAAAAATTAGAATATCGTGCAAATGTTCATTTATGTCAGTAAGGCAACTCATTGCATTATATACAGGTGAAACTCGAAAAATTAGAATATCGTGCAAATGTTCATTTATGTCAGTAAGGCAACTCAATATATTGGTTTCACCTTTTGAGTTGCCATACTGACATAAATGAACATTTGCACGATATTCTAATTTTTCGAGTTTCACCTGTAGGTAGTCCTCATCTTACAGCCATTTGTTCAGCGATGGTTCAAAGTTATGGCTGCCCTGAATGAAGGGACTTACAACTGATCCCCAAAGTTACAGCCAATGCAGCACCCACACAGTCATGTGATCAAAATTTGGGTGTTTGGCAGCCTACCCACACTTACAACTGCAGGGGCACTTCAACTCCCCCCACCTGCCTATTTCCCCCCTTCTATGCCCTTCTGGCCCCCTGCTGCCCTTTGCTCTGCCACCCCAGCTGACCGCTGTTTTCTTGCTCCTTCCGCTGACCAAGCATGCGCGCCCTGGCCCTTTGTGAAGCAGCTGCTGGCCGCACGAGGCTTTCTTCCCTGGGTCATGCATGGCAGTTTCTTCGTGAGGCCTGGAGAAGATAGCCTCGCATGGCCAGCAGCTGCTTTGCGAAGGGCCAGGGCAGGCACCCCTCATCAGCAGTTGGAGCAAGAAGACGGCAAAGGTCAGCCAGGGCAGCATAGTGCAGTATAGCATGAAGCTCAGTCCCAGCCCAGCAGCACAACACAAAGGGGCTCCTTGGTGCCCTGTGGCTCTGGAGCTGCAAGAAGCACAGTGCAAAGCCCAGCCCTAGCATGGCCCTGCAGCGCTGCAAAAAGGGGCTTCTTGGCACAAAGGGCCAGGATGGGCACACCTTGTCAGCAGCAGGAGCAAAAAGAGAGTGAAGGTCAGCTGGGGCGGTGAAGCGCAGGGTATCCGGGGTCTGAGAGTAGGGTGGAGAGTGCAACTGTGGCTGGGACTGAGCTGGGGCAGCTGGGGCTTTGTGCTGCGCTGCTGGGCCAGGCTGGGCTTTGCACTGTGAAGTGCTTTGTGCTGTGCTGTAGCTCAGGGGTTTCTTGCAGCCCCAGAGCCACAGTGTGCCAAGAAGCCCCTGAATCAGGGTGGCAAGCAGCCCCAGAGCCTCACAGTTCTGAGGCTGCCTGCCACCCCACAAGGCAGGGTACAGGGTGGCCAAAAGGACAGAGATGGGGGGGACATAGGCAGGTGGAGGGAGTTGAAGAGGAGAAAGTCCCTTCTTACTGAAGCTCAGGGCTGGGAGGGACCAAGCCTGGAATGGCTTGGCTTGGGGTGGATCCTTGGCTAATGACTGGTCAAATTCACTTAACTATGGCAACAGGCAGTGCCAGGATTGCCACTGCTAAGTGATGTGGTCACATGATGTCGCACTTTACGACCACATCACTTAGCAACAGAAATTCCAGTCCCAGTTGTGGTTGTAAGTTGAGCATAAGGCCTGTACTGCCATCTCTATCGTTTTTTGTTTCTTGTTATTTTTCTTGTTATGTTTTCATATTTTCAATCATTTGTAAACTGTTCAGAGTCTCTGGGAGTTGGGCAGTATATTAATTTAATAAATAATAATAATTATACATCCCAGTTTTCAAAATGCTGTAAAGGGAAAACGTTGCAAATTTTCAATACCAATTTAACATCTTGCATAAAGTGTACAACCCTAACATATTGTATACAGACTTTAGACACATAGAATACTAACATAGTGTTCAGACTTCAGGCACATATATTGAAGATTGGAAAATATTTCAATATTTAGATTTCTGTAATCCAAATCTATCAAGAAATTTTCTGGGCATCATAAAGCCACTGGCATCCAGGATAAAACATGATGAAAAATGATGAAATGTGTATTTAAGCCTTATGCACTGGCATCTCAGTGCACAATTCATTATTTGCCTCTCTTGCCCCCATGGACATCTATGAAAGCCAATACCTATTGAACAAGATAGATGGAATAATGGTATTTAAGACAGAAAGATGATTATCAATTCTTTTCTAAAAAATTTAGGGCAACAAGGGCAGGAATTATCTTCTTTGAGAAAATTGGAAAATACTATTTGATACAAAATATTAATGTCTAAGTTTTCATATTATACAAAAAGTAAAGAGGGCATCATACTGTTAGGTATAACTGAAAATTAAATATGATTTAATGATGAATTCATTAGAATAACAACATGCTTTTGTTATTTCTTATACTAAGCTGTTTAGATAGTTTTGTACATGCCTTTTTTATTAACTGTTCTTCCAACAATCAGTTTTGAGAGTGTTCTATATGGCAAAATAAATAAATAGGATAAACACAAACATAAAAGGACATAACGTGTTTTCTATTAGCTCAAAGTGCAGGATACAGAATGTCTTAGAGAAGAGAGGTTCTGGTTGAATGTTATGAAAAGCTATCTAACAATTCAACCGTAAAATCAATTACTTGGGGAAGTGAAGTCTCCTTCAGAGGATATGTTCAAGTAGGAGCTAGACTGCCACCTGTTGGGTATACTTAATCTGCATTGAGAAGTGGAGTTGAACTCAAAGGCCTCTTCCTATTTTATGATTCTATTGTAACTGGGCTAAAAAAGCTCTTAACTGACAGCACAATAATTTAATATGTCATAAGTAAGGAATATGCCAGGAATATGTCCAAATTATATTATAAATGAACATTGAGGCTGGAGTTTGAAACCAGGTTTCCCATTCCATAGTGAAGAGCATACGCATTCTCTTTTACAAGTTGGTTGACAATCTGAATTTGAATACTAAACACTTGTTTATGTTATTTCTACACAAACACCTCTCTATTTACAAAACCAAATCCCATAGCTCCCCTTAAGAAAGGCAAAAAATACAATACCACAGAATCAGCATATGGGAAGTATAAAGGCATATTTAAATAAACCATGTCAGTACTCAACAGTTCACTGGTAAGGCATAGAGAAGCTACTACCAAAAATGATCTACAACAACCTCGTATCATATATGACCTGATACCAAAAAATGAATCTTATTAAAATTACAGATTTCATGAATTCCAGGGCAAGTTACTTAGATAAAACTTTTACAGTAGAAATTTTGTCCCCAAAGATGAAACCTTTATTCTCACGACTGAGAACAAATTTTTCCAAATGTATTTTATGCAGCAACTATTTTGTTTGTCCTTTGCATACTAGCAAACACATGTTATGAAGCTTAATTATGGACTTAGCTTTAGATGACTTCATGACAGCTCATACCACAACACATCTGAAAAAAAGACTAGATTTCTACCCAAATAATTTACCTTTAAAATGAAAGGTCATCTTAGATTTGCAGATATGGCAATAGAGACAGACTGTTATTTATTTGTTTATGCCTAATTTTCCTTTTTAAAGAGGGAGTTATTTTAAATCCAGGTCTGTCATTTTTTCAAACAAATATGATAAATGTATAAGAATGTTGCTGAGCTGCATATTTATTATCATATACACTATCACATGCTTTATTATGACATACACTACCATGTGGTAACACCTTATTACAGACAATTTGCTATAAATTAACAAGCTAACTCCCTGCAATAAATTTTAAAGCAGCAATCTTATACATTTCCTCTGAAAATAGGCATTTGAACTCAATGGCATAGCTCAATCTTGTGATCAACTCTAAAATGAACACAGCAGCTGGACTAACTTTTTAAAAAAGTGGGTTCTTTATTCTTTTTCCCCCATTTCGTTTTTGCATCATTTAACATGAGGAAGAGTTGTTACTGTTTTGCGACATTTTATCTAATCCTAATAAAGATAATACTCAGCTATACATTCTGAAATGTTGCTTTATTTTGTAATGGGCCAAAGCGTCGATCATCGCTTTATTAGTCACTGATCTGTCCATATCCCATTACGCGCTCTTCTTTCTCCTATCCTACCTTTCTTTATACCCTATTCGATAACAAATGTTGGCGGGCGAGGCTGAATAAACTGGCACGAGTGCAATACCGCCTCCTCTTCGACTAGCATATCTCTAACTAACAAGCAAAACCCCGAAGTACTGCTCTACAGATCAGTACAAGAGTTCTCAAACAGCTCAAAACACGCACGTTGCGTGGACAGCAATAAAGTTAAGGAGGCTTATGTCGCCAATTCTGTTCCTGAAAGTACTAAGAAAGCTTTCTCACCTTGAACATATCGGAGAAAATTCGTTCTCCTAAAGTGTGGCCAGTGCTGATGACGTAAAAAGTATGAGCTGGATATACGGGTACTTGAACGGCATAAGCCGGCAGACGTTACGCGCCATTTAAAAAACAACTGAACGCAGAGGCGTTCAGTAGAGCGTCCTGGTATCTAAGCAACCACTGAAAGCTGTTCGACTGGAGGCTCCGAGAAAACGCGTCTTCAAGCCAAAGTGCCGTAGGATGTGGAGCGGTACTCGCGCATCGCCTCACGGCCTAAGCGAAAATGAAAAGGAAAGGCAGAGGTAAACCTCCCTGTTATTCCAGGAGCCCGGCTGTGGTGTGGGACCGGGATAGCGTATCCTGGTTTTGAATTTTGTTGTGAACGACAACTTGTTCTGTTTGTACTTTACAAAATAATATAACCCATATGTTAGATCTAGTACACCTGTGTAAGGTTTGTAGACCTGAATCTTAAGGAATTCAATACTAAGAATTAAGGCGGAGGCTCTTAAAAAGAAAACAGCTCTTTAATCGGCCGAGTGAACAGCTGGGTGGGC